CAAATTGTTGGGAAGTAGGGACGTGCAAAACACGAATATGGCCAAGGGCCACCTGTTCCCTAACAAAATGAATATCCAACTCAATATGCTTGGTCCGTCGATGATGCACCGGGTTAGCGGAGAGGTAGACCGCCAAGACGTTGTCGCAGTAGACAACCGTGGCACGGTCAACAGGGCAAGGGAGCTCCTGAAGTAGCTGGCGAAGCCACGAACACTCGGCGACGGCGTTGGCCACCGCACGATACTCAGCCTCAGCACTGGAACGAGAGACCGTAGGCTGTCGCTTGGACGACCACGAGATGAGAGAGGGTCCAAGATAGACACAATAGCCCGAAGTGGAGCGACGAGTGTCAGGGCAGTCCGCCCAGTCTGCATCGGAGTAGGCGGTGAGGGCGGTGTCGGTGGAGGCGTGAAGCGTGACGCCAAGATCCATAGTGCCACAGATATAGCGGAGAATCCGCTTGATGGCAGCCCAATGAACGTCTCGAGGAGCATGCATATGAAGACACACCTGTTGCACGACATACTGGATCTCAGGTCGAGTCAGAGTGAGGTACTGGAGAGCACCAACGATAGACCGATAGAAAGCAGCATCCGAAGCAGGAGAACCATCCGTGGCAGAAAGCTTGGCCTTCATATCAACATGCGTAGCGGCGGGCTTGCAGTTAAGCATGCCGGCGCGCTAGAGGAGCTCGTGAGCGTACTTCCGCTGATGAAGGAAGAAGCCATCCGGATGGCGCACCACCTCGACACCGAGGAAGTAGTGCAAAGGACCCAAGTCCTTGATGGCGAACTCAGTGCGAAGACGAGCCGTGAGCTGACTGAGGAGACCAGTCGTACATGCCGTCAGGATGATGTCGTCGACATAGAGCAGCAAGTAGGCTGTGTCAGAGCCCTGATGATAGACGAAGAGCGAGGCGTTCGAGCGGGTAGAGCGGAACCCAAGCTGGTGAAGAAACGTCGCGATGCGCTGGTACCAAGCGCGCGGAGCCTGCTTGAGCCTGTACAAGGACCGCGAAAGCAGGCACACGTGGTCGGGAAGCGTCGGGTCAACAAACCCGGTGGGCTGCTGGCAGAAGACCTACTCCTAGAGGTGACCATGGAGGAAGGCGTTGGAGACGTCCATCTGGTGTATCGGCCAAGCACGGGAGACCACAAGGTGGAGAACCGTGCGTATCGTGCCGGGCTTGACGACCGGAGCGAAGGTGTCGGTGAAGTCGATGCTAGTACGCTGTCGGAAGCCACGAACGACCCAGCGCGCTTTGTAGCGATCGAGGGTACCATCAGGACGGAGCTTGTGTTTAAAGACCCACTTCCCGGTAATCATGTTGGAGTGCTGGAGACGGGGAACAAGCTACCACGTCCGGTTGCACAATAGGGTGTCAAACTCCTCTTGCATCGCAGCCATCCAGAGCGGGTCACGAAGAGCGGCTCGAACGAAGGATGGCAACGGCGGCGGCTCAGAGGTGGACGCCGCATGGACGTAGTCATCCGAGGCGTAGCGCGAGCTCGGGCGAAAAACACCCGTACGGGCGTGGGTGACCGGACCGGCCACATGCGCCGGGGGGGCGGCGGGCACCGGGGGGGCCATGGGGGCCGCGGGTGCCAACGTCGTGGGCGCCGGAGGAGCTGCGGGGGCCGCGGGCGCCAACGCCGCGACTGTAGGAGGCGCCGCATGCGGGGGGCGCGCCTCAAAGCCATGGGCACGCCAAGAGAAGCACACGAGCGCCCTGGGAGAGGCGTCAAGGAGCCCACGTCACCAGTGGCGGGAGGAACGGCCGGCGGTACCCGGTGAAACGGAAACACATGCTCATCAAAGTAAACGTGCTGGGAAGTGAACACACGGTGGGAGACGGGATCGTAGCACCGATATCCCTTGGAGTTGGAGGGGTAGCCGATGAAGATGCAAGCGACAGATCGAGGTGCAAGCTTGTGAGAAGCAGTGTCGACAATGCTGGGATGGCAAAGGCACCCAAAAATACACAAGTCGTCATAAGACGGGGGCGTACCAAAGAGAAGATTGTGAGGTGCATAGTTCCACCGTGGGCGGCAGGGTCTAATGTTAAGAAGAAGTGATGCAGTGGCGAGTGCGTCCGGCCAGAAACGAGGCGGCACGTTGGCATGAAACAGGAGCGTGCGAACACAGTCATTCAGAGTGCGAAGGACGCGTTCGGCTCGCCCGTTCTGTTGTGAAGTGTACGGGCATGTGAGACGGAAAAATGTGCCGTGATGCGACAAAAAGGTGCGGAAAGTGAGGTTGTTGAACTCTTTTCCATTGTCCGTTTGAAGCGCAAGGATGGGACGCCCAAACTGCGTGCGGACATAGAAGTAAAACACCGTCAAGGTAGAGAGTGCATCTGACTTTCTGTGCAAAGGAAAAGTCCACACATAATGAGAATAATCATCAAGAATGACCAGATAATATAAATAGCCCAAGTTACTGGGAACCGGAGAAGTCCACACATCGCTATGAATCAACTGAAAAGGAAAAGAAACAATGGTGGTGGAATTATTAAACGGTAGGCGAACATGTTTGCCGACTCGACAGGCATGACAAGTGTGATCCTCGATCTTATTGCAACTGAAACTGAAACTTCTAAGAATATGACGAAGTGTGACGGGATTGGGATGACCCAAACGAGCGTGCCAGAGATCGATACCAGTGGAGAGAGCAACCGGTGCGGTGGTGGTGGATGAAGGCGAGTGCACCGGATAGAGCTCGTCGGGGCTGTCACATCGGTGAAGTACCATCCTGGTTCGAGCGTCTTTGACACAAAAACCAAGCTCGTCAAATTCAACGCTAACAGGATTTTCACGAGTGAAACAGCGAACGGAAATGAGATTCTTAATAAGATGAGGTGACACAAGTATGTTAGACAAAGATAATGGAGCAGAAGTAGAAGGAAAAGAAGTGTGCCCAACATGTGTGATAGGAAGTGTGGTACCGTCGCCGACAATGATGCGGCGGTCGGTGAAGACAGGAGTGAAGGAGGCAAGGTTACCAGGATGAGCAAACATGTGAGCCGTAGCACCGGTGTCCATATACCAATCACCACCTCCAGTGTAGTTGTTCGGCGTAGGAGCGGCATGCAGCCCCGTGAGAAGCACCGGGTCCCAGGGCGCCGATGGCAGGGCCGGCGAGGGGGACGAAGACACCATGGAGAAGCCGTAGCCGCCGCTCGATGGAGGCGCGGGGGGGGGGGTACCCTCCATACAGCCCCGGCTACAACTGCGGTGCCGGATAGGCCGGATGGTCCGCTGGAAAAATCTGCGGGTCTGCTGACAGATGCTGCAGGTGCTGGGCGCCGTCTGGCTGCTGTCCAGCGGGCGAGTGGTGGCATGCTGATGACCCCCATCAGTATCCTGGAGACTCGTACGCGGGCGAAGCCCCGTACGCAGGCGGGGACCCGTACGTGGAAGCGGGCGGAGTTCCATATGCCCCGCACATAAAAGTTTCGTATGTGGGAATGGCCACGTCGTAGGTGACGGCCGTCCCGTATGGCGGCGGGGCCGCGTCGTAGGGCACCGGCGACAGGACGGCAGAGGCAGCAGCGGACGGGTTTGATGACGCCATTGCTGGTCCGACGGCGGCGATCGGTGTGGTTGGGCGGCGGCAGCAGGAGGCTTCGATGAGGCGGGTGGCGACCGCTGAAGGCAGTAGCGATGTGCTGCCGGGACGGAGCGGGCGACTCGGACGGCTCGTGTGATCGAGCGTGGGCGACAATGCGGGAGATGCAGCTGGCGCGGGTAGGGCGTCGCGCGAGTGACGGCTGGCTACGCGGTTGGCGGCCGACGGGATCGATCGGCAGGGCAGCGGCGCACGCGCTAGGGCTACGCGCTAGGCAGCTGGCGGCTACGCGCTAGGCCTGATAACGGGATCGATCAAGCAACATGCATGCAACAGGCTTGGTGCAGCGCATTATTAAGAATATCATATAGGAAGATGGACTAGCTCGAGACCTTGACTTTAACCAATCAATTGAATCGATCGATCGGGGCTTGCGGCAGCTGGCGGCTGGCAGCTACGCGTGCGAGGCAGGGAGATGCGGGAGCCGCGGCCGGCGCGGAGGGCGCGCGAGCGGCGGCGGCGCGGAGGAGACACGCGGCGTCGATAACGACGGTGACGAAAGCGAGAAAGAAACCTAAAAAACCGATATTATGTATGATTACACGATGTATTGCTCTTCGTGCACAGACACGTATATATGATGTATAAAGATGGGTCATGGACCTCAACTATACAAGAAATTAGAAGACAAGCCTAATACATAATATGCACATAACACATATACTCAACAAGCAGCTGCCATAAAATCGCCTACAATAGATCCAGGACATTGGGAGGCTAGAGGTCTACTTACAGATTTCTGTGCAATCACGGATTCATCTCCAGCTCAGTTTTTCCACATATGAAGACTCCATAGGCACATGATTTAGCCCAGCTAGCACTCCTCCACGGATCAGTTCAGCCAGTTGCCTAGACATGCAATTACAGGGAACTGTAACTCTCAAACGTAAACCGTTTGCGGCATGAATGAATTGGCATCACAGGGGCTTTTGCGTGTTCAAGAAAAAAAGTGGGAGCAAATGCATGTATTACTTTCAACAGTCGCTGGGCTACCCGCGTTTTATTATACTTTACGAAGCGAGGGTTTCGTCTAGGGCAGCCGCGACCGTCAGGGAACTTTTGGTCCCCTCGCATTTGGTTGCCATCTTGGCGCCGAGAGGTGGGGGGACCACTTACCTTCAAGAGTTCTATGTTTTTCGTCATCGTATAGTGATTATTTTTTTGAGAATAAATTTACTCTCGTTCTTTTGACGCTGCTATATGAGATTGAAGAGTTTTCGGTCCTTGTAGACCCGATTATTCGGATTTTATGAGTTTATGTTGGTGTGTCAAACATTTTTTTGGTTTGATTCTTTTTATGGAATTGAAATCTTGCATCGACATCATGGTGAAAATATTGTGATCCGACGTCCTGCACTTCTAGGTGATCATCCCGGTCCAAGTATGTTCGTCAATCAAGGCTTCCTATGCTTTTCAATGGCAACTCAACACTTTTAAAAAAAATCATTATTACGAGTACGACAGAGACTGATATTTTCTCCAGTCCAATTGCAGCCGCTTTACCGAAGTCTTGGGACATTTTCTCTAGCAGAGACTGATAGCGCGAAGCAGGTGTTTTCAAGAGATTTTATTATATATTATTTCTTAGTCATAGAATTTACTTTATATTTTATTGAATTGAATTTGAAGATCCAAATCAGTGACCTGTAATTATTACGAGTACGGCAGATTTCATAAAAAAAGCAATCGCCGGGCTGGAAAGCCACCACACGACACAAGTGGACGCGCACACGAAACAGGAGCCGCTTCTTCGCCGCTCTGGCTTTTCCGTTGCGTGCGCGACCGCACCGCAGCCAGCAGTGCCACCGTATCGGGAGGCGAATCTCTATCCAGGCCGGTTCCGTGCGCACCCGGTTTGCGGTTCCGGGCCCGACTCTCCCTCCCTCGGCCCCCTTCCTTCACGCAACATTTCTCTCTCGCCCCACCCGCTGTCCCATCCACCAGTTACTACTAGTCACAGACGCAGCCAGCGCGGGTTCCACAACCCGATCCCCCTCATTTTTTTTAGCGGCAGCGGAATTTAACTCTCGCCTCTCCCGCCGCCGCCCACCGCGCAGCCCAATGGACCTCCCCGTGGTGGATCTCGCGCCCTTCCTGCAGGCCGCCGCCGGCGACGCGGCCGCGGCGCCGGCCGAGGCGGAGGAGGCGCTGCGCGCGCTCTGCGCCACGGTGAGCGCCAGCCTGCGGGACACGGGGGCGCTGCTGGTCAAGGACCCCCGCTGCACCGCCGCCGACAACGACCGCTTCCTCGACGTCGTCGAGCGCTACTTCGCCCGATCCGACGACTCCAAGCGCCTCCAGGAGCGCCCCCACCTCCACTACCAGGTACTACTAAATGATTCCGTTTCATGGGGCCGTACCGTAGCCTCCCCATCCCCCCGCTTCCCCGGCGAATTATGGTGCCCGATTAGGTGGGGAGGGGGGCTAGGGTCCGTCAAAATTATTAAGTTGGGCATTCTAGGATCAGTAGTAAGTAGTACTTGTTGCCAGTTCAAGTTATCTGATATGATCCGCTGCATTATAAAATCGCCTTGAAAATTCAGGCACTTATATTGATATATCCAAAAGTTACGCTGAATGTGTGGTGCCTTCAGGCTTAAGTTAACCCCGTTTGCAATGATGGATTTTGATCCTGTTTATATGATAAGGTCGGCGTGACACCTGAAGGCGTGGAGGTGCCTCGCAGCCTCGTCGACAAGGAGATGCAAGACACGATCAAGAGTATGCCAGAGGAGTTTCAACCAGCCACCCCTAAGGGGCCAGACCCGAAGTGGCGGTACATGTGGAGAGTGGGCCCTCGCCCGTCGAATACCCGCTTTAAGGTTGTCATTTCTACATGATCCTTTCACTGTGATGTGGAAGTCTGAATGAATTCCACGCTTCACCCCTAGCCATTATTTGTGCGTCATATGCTGAATTGTGAGCAATTTTTGTGTAGGAGCTGAACGCAGAACCTGTTATTCCTGATGGATTACCGGAGTGGAAAGAGACCATGGATTCCTGGGGTTCAAAAATGATTTCTGCAATTGAGGTACATATCCAGTGCACAATTTATCTAAGATGATGTTTTCTGCAGTTTATACATGGCAAATCTATGTTATAGAATATTCAGAAGTTGGTTGGACACACTTCTTTTGTAGGTTGTTGCTGAGATGGCGGCGATTGGATTTGGCTTGTCAAAGGATGCATTTACCTCTTTGATGAAGGAGGTAATGTTGTGATTCTTGGCACGCTCACTCGTTTTGTTATAATTCTTAAATTTATCTGAAATGAATGTCCTTAAAACAGTGCCAAGTTCCAGCTATTAGTAATATTTCAATGCCTTAGTGGGTTTAAAGGTGTGGTATGAGATCTTTTGGTTTTTCAGTCGTGCAATTCAACATTTTGAGTACTAGAAGTATTATTCGTGTTCTTTTAAAAAGAAGTAGTTATTCATGTTGAAGTTCTTTGATCATCGTGCTGACACTGCTCAATTATTCTCTTGTTTCAATAGGGACCGCACCTCCTAGCACCAACCGGAAGTAATCTGATGCGTCATGGTTTTGAGGGCACTGTGTTTGCTGGGTTCCATTATGATCTTAATTTCTTGACCATCCATGGCCGTAGTAGATTTCCAGGCCTGAACATTTGGTTAAGTAATGGTAAAAAGATGGAGGTGAAGGTCCCTGTTGGCTGTCTTCTCATTCAGTCAGGGAAACAGGTTAGTTCTGCCAATTTTCACTGGATACATTTAATTGTTCTGCACTCATAGTTTGATGAAATGATACTTATGCATATTGGTTGCAGGGGTGAATACCAGTTTTATGATATTATCTTTAATATTTTGTTCTTATATAGAAGTACTATTTTTCCTGCAATAGTTGATGTTGTCATCGTGAAATCAAACTTTAGTTTCATATCTGAGTCTTTACTGAAATATTACACACTTGCGTGTAAGGATCTGTAAATACTTGTATGGAACTGTTAGGCAAATGAGAGCTGGGCGTTATTTCCGGGGTGTTGGGTGTGGTAGTGAAGCATGTGCACACACTAAACTGTCAATATTTGATGTGTTCCTTTCTGTGCAGTTGGAATGGCTTACAGGTGGTGAATGTTTAGCTGGAATGCATGAGGTAGTGGTGACCAAGAGAACATTAGAGGCAATAGAACTAGCTAAAGAGCAGAACCGAAGTTTGTGGAGGATCTCATCAACAGTAAGTACTCTCAGTTCCCACGATGTCTGCTAACCTCGTGACAATTTCCAGAATCCTCTGTGCTCTGCCGATCTATTGACTAACCGATTTCTATGTATGTCCAAACAGCTATTCTCGCACATTGCTTCCGATGCGACACTCAAGCCATTGGGCCACTTTGCTGAAGCACCCAATGCTCATAGTTATCCACCTATATGCGCCGGGGAGTATGTGGAACAAGAGCTCTCAGCAATTAATCTGAAAGGGAAGGTTGCACTCTAGGCGCACACAGACCGCCGATTAATCTGGTGACTCGTTAATCTGCCTTCTGTGGTCAGAACGCGAATTGCGATAATCCAAGCTGATACTTGTATCTTCATTCAACTTTGTTGACATACCGAGGTTGCGCCGGTCTATTTCCGACACAACTCTATCTATGTCCATGCTAAGTATATGTCCATTTGACCCCCCTGTTAAGTTATAGTGGATGCTCATGCTCTGGTGTACTGAACTGATAGCACCTGTGAAAATTAAATAATAGCAGTACTGTTATTCTCGAACCGAAGTGTACTGAACTGATATCAGCGTTGCTCTCTACGAAAGTCATCCTTGCAATCCGTTTTGCAACCGATAAATCTGTTCTGAGCTGAAACATCAAACGCACAGCACTAGTAACACTATTTTAGGGGTCAAAGTTATAGTCCACTCCACTCTGGGCAGTAAGCTGTGACACTGCAAAGCGTTGTTTCTTCTCATCACAAACCGGCTAATCGAGATGTACATATGTACAGCACAGCGGCCAAGCACGTAGTCGAGGCGTTTCATCAAACTTCAGACCCAGTTGTTGGGCAGCGAGAAGTTGTGGAACCTGAAGGAGGCGTCCCCGGCGGTGTCCCTCCCCTGGACCATCCCCGGCTCGCCGTCCGCCTGCGCCGGCTGGTTGTCGACCCACGAGAAGGAGTTCTGCCGCAGCAGCTCGGCGAACGCCGGGGACGGCTGCGGCGTCGGGCACGGCGCCCCCTGCGGCCGGTTCGGCGCGTCGGTGCCGAAGTCCCACATGAGCACGTGGAGCAGGATGGGGCGCAGGGCGTGCCGGTGCAGGGACAGCTTCTGGCTGAGAGACACGGTGTCGAAGCACCGGATGGCCCCGGAGGTGGACACCATCCACGGCAGCACCTTGCGGCACGACACCCGGGAGATGACCAGCAGCTTGGACGCGCGCTTCGCCTCCCGGTAGAGGTCCCGCAGCCCCGACCGCGTCGACGGCGTCGGCCGGTCGCTGTCGTCTTCCATCACCGACGAGATGTAGAGGAAGCCCTGCACCCCATTGCCATTACCAAGAGCGAATCAGTTCAGACGTGCACTAGAGCTAGAACTAGAGACATATACAGGGACAGACATTCCTCCGGCATTGGTACCTCCTCGGTGCGGCTGATGGCGAAGCCGAGCTTGGTGTCGCCCTCCTCGAGGGTGATCTCCACGGGCATTTCTCCGGCGGCCGCGGTGAACCAGAGGCGCACCGCCTTCACCACGCCGATGTCCACGCCGTGGTAGTCCTCGAACCCGTAGAGGCTCGCGTTGGCGAGGTTGGGGAGGTCGGCCAGTGACCCCGAGTTGACCGTCGCCGAGGCCATGTCGCCGGAGATCTGCACCATGCATGCCATATAAGAACGTCAGAAAAACACCAAAACATCCCACACACGATCATTCTGATGGCAAAAAAAATATAGTACAAGGAACCTTGGTGAGGAGGGCCTCGGTCTGGACGTTGAGGAAGGCGATGGGCACCCCGGCGGCCTGCGAGGCGAGGAACCAGGCGTTGGCGCGGGCCAGCGTGTCGTCGACGGAGTTGTAGCGGGAGTTGGCGCGGTCGAGCGCGGTGGGGAGGACGAGCAGGGAGAGGAAGCTGCTGGCGCTGGGCACCGGCAGCACCTCCTTCATCTTCTTCTCCCACGGGTAGGACACGTAGCCGTCCTGCAGCTGCGCCTTGCTCAGCGCGCACACCACCCGAGAGCTCCGAGACCCTGCATGCATGCACAGCACCACCGCCGCCGTCGTCAGCGAGCGATCAACGTCGGCCATGACGTAGCATTAGGACATTTCTAACACTATTTCGAACCGTGATTCAGTTCTTTATTTTGATCATCAGGAGACGACGTTAGATTTGCAGAGGAATCTCAAGCTAGCTGGAACCAAGGCGTCTGCACGATCTGCAATCATGTGCGAGTTTTTATTTTTTATTTTTTGTTACTTATTACTCCTGGTGCGAACAAGCCGGACGCGACATCATCGACCTAGGAGGTAAAGTCAACCGGTGAATCTCCGAACCGCATTACGATCTCAGAGGAACAGCGGCATTCAATACTAAATCAGCAAGTGGACGACCTTGCCGTGTAGTATGAAACTATGAATGATTGAATCAGATGCAGACTCCATTCAACGTGCACCGCCGTGTCTGCTGCCTGGAAGTAGGGGCATGCGACTAGGGCTAGACTAAATGATTCGTGTGTTTGGTAAGATCCGGCTAAGCATTGGTGTGTACGGGTGCACTACCGTATACCTAGTACGCGGCTACGCCTAATAATCTCGAAACCACTAGCTTAATCAGGCGGTCTCTCCTGTGCAGTCAAATTTTTTGGAGACGATGGCAGTGCATGTACACATCATCTGCATGATGTAGCCTGTAAGACAATTCTTTAAGTTGAGCAGGCCAAGTTACCAGTCGGAAAAAGTGACAACAAAGGCAGCTGCCTAAAACACAACAAGAACAACAATGCTATCGGCAGCTCTTGCAACGAGGATATTCGGATCATATCCTATCTAAACGCGATGATCGTACCACGGAAGCTAAAAGACTAAAACTGACACGAGAATATGCCTCGGCACACTAGCATGCAACCAAAACCAACTCTTGTGAGTGATCGATCACGCCAAATTATTTTTACAACGTAGCTACAACTGATCCATTCATCCAAGCATATGCCTCGGCGCACCAGCATGCAGCCAAACCCAGTCTTGTGGATCTTATCTAAGAGAAGAGATAGTCTTGTGAATGATCGAGCGCGCCAAAAGGAATTCTATCGCGATCGCGATCGAGATCGATCGGCCGGGAGAGAAAACGATAAAGATGGCGTCGCCGCCTGTCAATTCAAAGCCGCACCAACCCGTGCGCGGAAGTCGCATGCAGCGGGAACGCGCGCATGCACGCACCGGCGGGCGCCCTATCCTTTTTCTCAAGTCCAACCCGGCATGTAGCGAAAACTCAGTCGACGACTTTTACGAGTACTTTTCTTCGCTAACTAACGCAATTGCAAGCAAAAAATCGAACAAGTTGAATCGGAAATAAAGATCTGCGGAGGTTCTAGAAAATATCTGCGGATCGGATGATGGTGGAAACTGGAAACGCGGCGGTGCCGTACGGCTGCTGTTTACCTCGGAAGGCGACGCACTCGCTCTCGCTGCGGTCGACGAGGCCGACGGCGTAGTTGGGGTCGCGGATGGACCGGAGCACGTACTTCTGGCTGCGCCCCACCATCGCCATCCCGCCGCCGCCGCCGCCGGTCTCCTGCGGCACGATGCAGGCCTGCATCCTGGCGGCCGCCGCGTCGGAGCCGGGGCCCAGCAGCTCGCCGCTGCTGTCCGACTCCCCCGGCACCAGCTGCTGCCGCGCGTGCGCGGGGCGCCGCACGCGCACCTCCACGGACGTGTCCCTGCGCTTGTAGGCGGCGTGCAGCAGCTTCTGCAGCGCGGCGCGGCCGCCCTTGAAGGGCGCGGCGTGCACGGCCGGCCCGCCGCGGCCGCCCACCCCGATGAGGAGCTCCTCCACCACGTCGCCGGTCTGCACCGTCTCGGCGCAGCCCGTGCCCCACTCCTCCGCCCGCGACCCGCCCGCCACGCACTCGATCGCCACCACCCCGCCGCCCTGCTGCCTCTTCCCGTAGTCCATGGGCATAGCAGGAGGCCTCTCGCTTTCTCCCTCCCTACTCCTACTCCCTCGCGCAGCAGCAGCTAGCGAGCAAAAATGAACCGGCCGCCGTGGGGCTGCGCTATATACGGAGAGATCTATGGCCCCTTTTGACTTGCGTGGATGGGTACTAACTACCACTGCCCCGTCGCCGTCGCCGTCGCCATCGCAGCTCGCAGCGGCGGCAGCGGCCCAGGAAGAAGATTCTTGCGACTTCACACGGCGGGGGCGGGGGAGGAAGAGAGAGATAGAGAGAGTACAGAAGCAAACGCAGACGGGAGCGGTTTGGAGGGGCGAATTAATGGAGGCGCGAGCGCGGTGGATAAGGACTGTTGCTGTCGTCGGGATTAAAATCTGCCGTGCTGGTGGCGACCCTCGCCGTACCCGCGACCGGCCGGGGCGCATCGGACCGGACGACCGCTCGGGCGGGTGCGTCGGGACCGTCCGTCTTTTAAACTGTTTCGCTCACTGGCAGATGGGGCGGGCGGGCGGGCGGGGGGTGGTTAGGCGTGCGTGGACTTGGAATTCAATGCGAGAGGCATAGTTCGAGTTCGCGCGGGCATCTCGGGTCGGGGGGAGATGGATCGGTCGAGCTCGAGCCCGTGCGCATCCAGCGACGTCATCGCCGCATGTGTGCGTCCCGTAACGCAGAGTCCGTGCACGCTTTTACCCTTTTTCTAGACGCGATGCATGCATCTCTCGCTCTTTTTTGAACGGAAAAAATAAGGGTCTAGAAGGAGCAAGAAACTGCGGTAGACCTACAATGGAAGAAAAAAGAAGGCTAATACTAAATCAGTACACTTATACTCCCTCCGTAAACTAATAAAAACATTTAATTAGAACACTACTTTTAAAACAAGCCTGAGAGCGCCAGAGGAGAAGAAAAAAGGTGTGTCTAATGATAGCTCGTCCAAGGAGCAACAGTCTAGCCAAAGTAGCACTAAAGATGCTCGTGCTACAAACGCTAGAGCTGATCCCAGTTCAGAGGTTAACTCGCCTAAAAAGAAGCATGATCAGAGGAATAAGAGAAAGGGGGGCCCTCATGGAACGAAGCAAGTTTATCGACAGATCTCTTTGCCTCCGACTGATCAACCGCAGAAACCACAAATGAATGAAACCACAAATGCTGTGGTGGTGTTCACAGCGGGTGAGGTGCGTTTGGATGGTGATGAGAAGGAGTCAGGGAGGGAGCCAGAAACCAAAAAGAAAAAACCGACTCCCACTAACTCTCAAAACTCAGGATGTTCGGCGGCGGCTGCAGAGCAGCCCCGCCGGGAATGATGAGTTGCCTCAGCTAGAACTGCCGGGGGCTTGGGAACCACGAGGCAGTTCGGGAGCTTCGCAGCATTGTGAAGCAGGAAGGGCCCGGTCTCTTATTTCTTATAGAGACCAAAATTTCAGCCAAGAGAGTGGAGAATCTACAGAACTCTCTTGGTTTTGCGGGATGTTTTGCGGTGAGCAGCGTTGGACTCAGTGGGGGACTAGGTTTGTTTTGGTCTGCTGATCTAGATGTTGAACTCAAAAATTATAGTTCTGCCCATATCGATGTTATGGTGCAAAGGAAAAATGATACGTCCAAAAAATGGCGTGTCACAGGCTTCTATGGAGCTCCGCGCGTGGAAGATAGATGCCACAGCTGGAGATTCATGAGAACTTTGTTTGCTATCCGGCATGAAGCATGGATGTGCATTGGGGATTTTAACGAAACGTTATTCGGCTCCGAACACTTTTCTCTCTCACCAAGACCCGAGTGGCAGATGAAAGCGTTTCGGGAAGTAATGGATGAGTGTGCAATGGTTGACTTGGGCTGGTCAGACATGGAATATACATGGGATAATAGGCAGTCGGGTCGATCAAATGTTAAAGCCCGGCTAGACAGAGCCTTTGGCAACACAGCTCTTACTAATTTATTTGCAAATGTCAAAGTTCGGCACATTGTTGCTGCGGAGTCAGATCACTGTTTTGTCTTAGCAGATCTAAGGGAAAATCTAACTTCCAGTGTACATCGAGGGCCCAAACCCTTTCGATATGAGGACATGTGGCAAACACATGCAGATTATGACCAGCTCATCCTAGACTCTTGGCAGAAGGGGTCGGGTCGGCACGGCCTAGGTGGCGTGGTTGAGGCCCTGAACAACTTACAGACACAGTTATCTGCATGGGGCAAAAGGGAGTTTGGTTGTCTTGCTCGCAAAATACGTAAGTTACGTGAACAGCTAACACAGCTGCGGAGTCGATCTGTGGGCAGTGGGCCGTCCGAGGAGGAGAAGGCGATTGTGAAGAAGTTAAGACTTGCCCTGCACCAAGAAGAGATTTGGGCCCGACAACGGTCTAGAGTACCATGGCTGCGTGAAGGAGACAGGAACACGGGATATTTCCATGCCCAAATGTCTCAGCGTAAGCGCATGAACCGGATCGAGAAACTTGAACGCTCGGATGGTACTATGTGCACCACTCCTGAGGAGGATTGGGAAGAGGTCCAAAGTTTTTCGAAAATTTATATACGTCTCAAGGTTTTCGGCAGATGGAAGATCTGCTCGAGTTTGTACCCAGCAGAGTTACGGACCGGATGAATTACGAGCTGCAAAAGCCATACACGGCGAAAGAAGTTAAAAACTCTGTTTCAAATGGCACCGTCAAAAGCCCCAGGAGTCGATGGGTTCACCGCGGGGTTTTTTCAGCGACACTGGAATCTCCTAAAGGATGACATCACTCCAGTGGTGCTTGGTTTCTTGAATGGTGGTGAATTGCCAGCGGGTATGAATGACACATCCATCACCCTAATACCCAAGGTACGTTTTCCACAAAAGATTTCCCAATATCGCCCGATCTCTCTTTGCTCCGTCCTGTATAAAGTTGCTGCCAAAGCGATCACTAATCGTCTGAGAGAGTTTTTGGATGATATTATTGGACCGGAGCAGAGCGCATTCGTCCCAGGTCGCTTGATAACAGACAATGTCTTAATCGCGTATGAAAGCGTGCATGCCATGAAGCGAAGGAAGAAGGGAGGAAATGCTGCTTGTGCTATTAAGTTAGATATGATGAAAGCCTATGATCGCGTCGAGTGGCA